CCCTTGGGAGGTGGGAACATAGATGTACTTGCTCGGGCCACCATCTTAAAAGGAAAACCCTAGGATGGCTTTCTTTTCTTTTCAAGATTTATTATTTATTTGAAGAGTTAGGGAGGAAGAGAGGGAGAGAAAGACAAAGCGATCTTCCATCCCCAGGGCTGAACCTGGCTGAAGCCAGGAGCTTCATTCAGGTTTCCCACCTGGGTGTTGGGGACCCAAAGACTTGGGTTATCTTCCACCGCTGTTCCCAGGCCATTAGCAAGAAGCTGGTTTCGAAGTGGAGCAGCTGGGACATGAACTGGGCCGTGTTAGATGCCGGGGTCGCAGGCTCTGGCTTTACCCACTGTGCCACAATGCCAGCCCCACCTAAGGTGGCTTTCTAGAGAGCATAATTTCATAATTTTTAAAAATTCTCTGCTCTATTAATAATTTTTTAAAATTGGCAGTTGGCATTTTTTTAAGAAGGCTCTTTTGTGCCCACGTGGCTGAGCTCTGAAAGGGAAGAGCCAGTGCCACAGACAACACCACTGTAGGCATCAGGTTAGCCTCTGAGATTTCTGAGGCGCCGACTCTCAATTTGCATTTTTCCGTTTCAGAAGAGACAAGGTTGGGGACACACTGCCACAGAGCACAGGTGCGACAGCCGATCACATCACGAAGGTTTCTTTTAGGTTTTACAACATAAATTGGTTCTGCTCAGTCTCTGCACCTGGCACAAGCCTCCCAGGGCCTCCCAGTCCTGCGGTGGCCACGGGTGAGCGGCGGCGCCGGCGTCTCTGTGTGTATTGGTGTGAAAATTCTGCCCCTCTCCGCACCCTAGACCACGGTTGCGTTTCTCTTTTACTCTGCTCGGGAGATCATTTTGCCAGTTTGACCTCAGAAGACCGGTGGTGGAGGATCACAGACTTGGCCCGTACGTGATGTTTTTTCATAGACAGGCTTTTCCACCCACCTGTTCTTTCCAGGTGTATCTTTCTCCAAATGTGAGTAAATTCCTGTTTGATCTCCAGTTTTCTTAGACCTAAACAAGCCAAGATAGCTGAAATAGTTTTTTAAAGGAATTTTACTTACTTATTTATTTGAGAGTTAGGGTTACAGACAGAGAGAAGGAGAGACAGAGAAAGGTCTTCCATCTGCTGGTTCTCTCCCTGGATGCCTGCACTGACCAGAGCTGATCTGATCCGAAGGCAGGAGCCAGGAGCTTCTTCTGGGCCACAATCTGCTACTTTCCCAGGCCATAAGCAGAGAGCTGGATTGAAGAGGAGCAGCCAGGACACAAACCAGTGCCCGTGTGGGATGCCGGCACTGCAGGCGGAAGCTTAGCCCACATGCCACAGCGCTGGCCCATGAAATCTTTTTTCCCAGATCAGTTAACATAAAGCAGTTCCCAACCAGGGATCAGAGTGGTTGTGTGGGAAATCTAAACTATTTTAAGACTTGATCTTTTTGAGACACAATGTTGTAAATGTTACTTAGGTTTCTTGGATGGAGCACATGATTTCCTTCATCCGTTGTGACAACTTAAGTTCTGGGTCCTGTGTAAAAGAAACCAGGAATAAGAAGGGGTGTGGGGGGGCGGGTCTCATTCATCCCTTCCTGGCCGCGCAGAGGTGACCGCGGTGTCTGTGCTTCTCCTGCTTCCCGGAAGCTCGTCCGCTGCTGCAGCTGTTTGTGTCTCCGCTGTGCTGTCTTCCCACCCCACTCCCAAGTATTCATGGCTGTTTGCCGAGACCTGGTGAGGGCAGGGGAGTGTGGACGGGTAGAAGGAATTTGCGAACACCAACCAACTAATCAGCTAAGGGCTGGCGCTGCTTGGTGCAGCGAGTAAAGCCGCTGCCTGCAGTGCCAGCATCGCCAGCATCTCATATGGGCACTGGTTTGAGTCCTGGCTGCTTCTCTTCTGATCCAGCTCTCAGCTAATGGCCTGGGAGGGCAGTAGAGGATGGACCAAGTGCTTGGGCCCCTGCACCCACATGGGAGACCCAGAGAAGCTCCTGGCTCCTGGCTTCAGATCGGCCCAGCTCGCTCCATCCATTGCAGCCATTTGGGGAGTGAAGCAGTGGATGGAAGACCCTTCTGTCTCTCCCTCTCTCTGTGGCTGTACCTCTCAGATAAATAAATGTTTGAGAAACAGTGAGAGGAAATAGTCGGGCACATGAGGGGTGGTTAGGGAGCGGTGGATGGCGGCTCCAGGTGAGCAGGCTGGCCCCACCTTTCGGCAGAATGAATGGATGCCAAGTGACCAGTTCCCTCCACTTCTTTCACTCTCGGACTCCAATCAAAAGGCCCAATTCTCTGAACTGCAGGTGGCGTGGTTTCAGTCTGGGTGGCAGGGAAGCAGCGTGAGCCACCGCCTGCTGCCTGCTGGGATGTGCACTAGGAGGAAGCAGGATCTGAGGCAGAGGAGTGAGGACGTAAAGCAGGTGTCGCAGGCGGGGGCGGGAGCTGCTGCACCAGACCCCCGCCCCGCAGGGGAGATTCATGAACATCCCACGTGGAAACCACACCCTCCACATCCTCGTGGCCTTGTCCTGCTCCCGAGGAACAGCTGCCATGCTTCCCAGGTGCCTTGCCGCCAACATGCCGAGCCTTCCTTCGCAGGGTGGTTTCCCAGTTTCCCACCAGGGCACTGGGGAAGATGTCATAGGGACAGATTTGTCAGGAGAATGAGGGGGCTGGTGACCTGCTCACCGCGGGGGTCTGGCCACTTAAGGCCTCACAGTTTCTGAAAAACACCTGAAATTTATTTCCAGCCACTAATTTGAGTACAGTCGTGACCTAATATTTCCACAGAAGGTATAAAATTATATCTCAGCGCCGTGGCGCACTAGGTTAATCCTCCACCTGTGGCACCGGCATCCACCTGGGCACCGGGTTCTAGTCCCGGCTGCTGCTCCTCTTCTAGTCCAGCTCTCTGCTATGGCCTGGGAAAGCAGTGGAGGATGGCCTAAGTGCTCGAGCCCCGCACCCACATGGGAGACCAGGAAGAAGCACCTGGCTCCTGGCTTCGGATCAGCATAGTGGCCATTTGGAGAGTGAACCAACGGAGGGAAGACTTTTCTCTCTCTCTCTCTCTCTCTCACTGTCTGTAACGCTACCTGTCAAATAAAAAAATTATATCTCAGTATTTTAATATTAAGAAAGGCTGGTGAATTTGAGCGTTTTCTGATTAATTCATCTCTCCTCGTTGGTTATATCCGGGTCCCTGTCAGCTCAGTTCCTCCGGCTCAGGATTCCAGCGGGTGTCGCTTGGTCTGTGCTGTCTCACCTCCCTGTTTCTCCTGCTGCAGATCTCTAGCGAGTCCCTTGCAGTGTCGTCTTTGGCCATGGCCGTGACGTTGCAGTGAAGGCTGCCTGTCCCCGGTCCTCTCCAGGTTTCTTGTGAATACCCGGCAGTGCGTGGCCAGCCCTGGTTTTCCAGTTCTCTGATGGAATGGTGGCTGGCCTGGCCTGGTGCTGATGGCCTCACTGGTCCATGCTTCTCTCCCGAGATTAGCACTTGTCATGCCTCCCTCGTCGTCCTTTGGAAAATATCACAGTAAAGGATTCGCATTTTTCAGCCATCTCCGTTGTCAGTAATTCAGCATGACATTTCTTAAATGCTGTTCCCTCTCCTTCATCCATTTTTCTTAATACCTTTTTAATTATTTCTTAGCTTAAAAAATTCACAGCTTTTAATACTTAGCCATCCATGGCACCATCCCAGAAGCAGCTGGACTCTTAAGACTGTTGAGGTGTTGGGGGGTGGGGGGGTGGGGAGAACGTAATCCTGGATCCCAAAGAAGGTGCTAGATTTGGGGAAGCGTCAGTAGGTGGAGGCTGCACATCGGAGCGGCAGGAATACCTGTGGGTCAGTGCCGTTGGCTCAGTTACAAGTCTCATCATTCTGTAACAGAGCGCTTGCGCAGGGTGCTGGTGCAGATGGGAAACAGAATGGCCAGGTTTGGTGTTTCCCAGATCATACTGATAGACTCAGCGTTCTGTGAACCTGCCCTATGGGGCATGGAGTTTGCAGTGTAAGGTCATGATCAACCACAGTCAGTCAGCCAATCAGTATTCACATTGATTATCACAGCACCAAAGAAACTGAGCCAGGCACTACTGGGGACATCGAGAACTCCGGGGACCTTAGGCTGAAGACCATGTGTGTTCCGTCCAAGTCAGCCTGAAGCCCAAAGCCCAGAGCGGTTTTGCACTCTCTGAATTAAGGCACATGTAGAAAAATGTTTTCTTTGGAAATAAACTTGATTTTTTGATAAAACATATTTTGATAAAACACTTGCTGTTGATGGGTGAGAATAAAACAAATGGGTCAACAGTTATTGAACAGGCCACAGTGAGGTAGTCTAAATGTAACTCACTGGCCTGCTAACCTTTGATGCTCTTCAGGCCAATGATAACTAATTACAAAATGCCTGATTTGCTTATGGCCTTGTCTAAATAACGTCAGAGTTTGTGAAATGAGGAGGCTTCCATAGCCTTGGCAGCTCATGGGAAGAGCCTCGAGTGATCACTGGCATCATAAATAAGAGTGTCAATTGTTAAATCAACAACAGGAGTCACTGTGCACTTGCTCCCCATGTAGGACCTCTGTCCTTAATGAGTTGTACTATGAGAATTAACGGTAAAACTAGTCTTCAAACAGTACTTTATACTTTGTGTGTCTGTGTGGGTACGAACTGTTGAAATCTGTACTCAGTATAGAGTTGGTCTTCTGTATAGAAAGATAATTAAAATGAATCTTAATGAAGAACTGGATGGAAGAGGGAGTAGGAGGTGGGATGGTTTGGGGGTGGGAGAGCGGGTATGGGGGAAGAACCACTAGAATCCAAAAGTTGTACTTAATAAATTTATATTTATTAAAGAAAAGCTTTCTATAAAAAAAAAAGCAAAGCAAAACAAAAGAAAATTGCGAAGGACCCGGGTTGTTGGGTGCCAGTTTGCTTCCTTGCACAGCCGGTCTGCCGCAGCACATCAGTGTATCTTCTTCCTTGTTTCAGCATGCCCTCCTGGCTTTGAAGTTCATACTCGCGTTTGCCATACCTGATAAGCCCCGGCATATCCAGATGAAACTGGCCAGGCTGGAATTCGAGTCGCTGGAGGCGCTCAAGCAGCAGGTAAGAGCAGCTGTCTTGTCAGCTGGGTGCATTTCAGCAAGTGACAGGAAACAGTTCCAGGAGTCACTGTTAGCACGGCCAAGCTAGCACTCAGCCAGAGAACAAGCAGAGATATGTAAGCATCACCCCAGCACGGCTCCCCACAGTTTATAAAATGCTGTCTTGTAAAGAAGCATTAAGGGAGGAGAAGGAAATAAAAGAAACCCCGAGAAGTACCCTGCAGAGAAGGAGAAATGAGAACATGTGGTAAACGCACCCACATGGCCGTGAAAGGAAATACTTCGTCAGTGACTTCCATGTTCTACCAGGGACCAACACAGTGAAGGGGGCGGGGGACGAGTCTGGCTGAATTCACCACTTGGTGATTGTCTGCTTGTAGGAGAGCGAGAACAGAGAGGCAGAGGTTGCTAGTTGGCCTGAGCTGCTTATCTCCAAGGACGTGGGAACTGCAGGCAGGAGGAGATCGGGAAGGCGTGGCACCTAAGAGGCCCCTGTTTGGGTCCAGGACCTGGTAGATTCACACAGTCTCTGACCTGCAAGCCACTTCACTCAGGAATATCCTGGTGTGTGGGGATCTGGGAGGAGGAGGCTACCTGAGCTGACCCTCTGACAGAAGCCAGGACTCCGAGGGCAGTGTCCCAGATAAAGAGCCCCACACTGGAATAGTCCCCACTGCCGAGTGGGTGGGGCGACCCCAGAAGAGCACTCGTAATCAGAGTCAGGAAAGGAAAAGCTGGCCTTCCATCAGAGCAGGGCATGTGGTGGAGGCTGGAGGCTGGCGGGCCCCTGTGAGCCACATGTGGGCCAGCCCGGGGGTCGGGGTCTTTCCCCATGGTCAGACCCCAGGTAGAGAGGCAAGTTACTATGCTTACCTAAAATCATTTATTGCCTTTCATAAGGAGTAACCAATTAGAAAAGATGAGTGAAGTAAAAACAACCGTTTTCAGGGAGAAAACCCAAATATAAAGCCTTCAGATGGTAGCTTCTGAAAACAATATGGATTTTTGCTATGAAAAACACTTTTTAAGAACTCTCCTAGAATCAGAATGTTCAATCTCAGTGCCAAGTATGTAGAAATAAACATCTGAGAATAGCAAGGAAAGTTTTGGAAAAGAAAAAAAACCTGGAGATAATGTCTCTGCCAGATGTGAAAATGCACTCTGAGCAGCACACCCCTTACGGCGGTGCGTTTAGAGTTAGAGGAGCAGACGGGGAGTCGGACAGAGCAGAGTTCACACTGGGGTTAAGTAGATGATGAAAGTGACAGTTTGTGTCAGTGGAAAGAAGGATTATTTGTTCCACGATTTGGTGATGAACAGCTATTTGGGGAGATTACTGTGCTTTGTTACACCTCCTTCTTTATAAACCCCCATCACCAAATTCACATCGTTGAGAGATTTAACTGTTAAAAACTTGAACCAAAAAGCAGTGTATGAAAAGCCTGTGTAGACCTTCCTGCCAGAAATGCCTTCCACGTGAGGACAGAAGCCATAGTCAGATGCCGATCAGCATGATTTAAAACTTCCACTTGGCAGAACACAAGTCAAGAGATAAATGGGACAGGCTGGGGAAGAAATTTCATATGGGGCGAAGAGTTAGCCTTGAACTCAAAAAACGTTTCCACGGTTCGTCAAAAGAGATGTTCAGTCCCGCTGAGAATGAAGGAAAGGTAGCTTCCAGCCGCAGTGAGATGCTGCCCTGCACCTCTTCTAGCAGAGACCTGCTGAGAACCCCATCCTCTTTGCATGTAGGGAAATGGACTTTTTTTTGGTATATGCTAGAGAGAGGTGAAAGTGAGGTCAGCCTTTCTAGAGTACAGTCGAATCGAAGTTGAGATTATTCCGGAACATTAAGTAACTCTTGTTTCGGTTGTATCTGCAAAGTATACCAAAATACAGCCTTTAAAACATTTTAAAAGCAAACATCTGAGATGATGAAATTTCTCAGTAGGAGAGTGGTTAAGTAAATTACGGTGTATCTGTATAATAAAATTCTGTGAATGTGCGTTTTAGAGAAAGATCTCTCGCTGCTGGGTGTGTGTGTGTGTGTGTGTGTGTGTGTGTAGCCCACCATCACATTGATCGTCAGATAACTCCTTGAATTCCCTTAGACCCTTTCCAGGCATTTGCAGGTGCCTCTTCCGTGCCCGCCCCCTCCTCCTTCGGCCTCCTTTTCTGCAAATATCCCCGTGCATTTGTGTTTAAAGAAAAGACCAAAAAATGTCAGCAGCAGGTGAAGTTGCTGGAGAAATGCTTGTTTCCACTTCAGGGGTCTTGGAGCATGAGGCCGTGGACCAGGCGTGGAGGCCAAGTTGTCAGGCCAGGCCAAGTGAGCCGTGTGATTTCCTCAGGGAGGGGCAGAGACCCCCAGCAATGCAGGACAAACCCACACGGTGCTCCTTTGACACCCAGTCAGTATTCGAAAGTATTGGCTCAGCTTTCGTGTCGGGGAGGGGCTGAGAGGCCCTGGGTGAGGGGCAGAGAGGAGGGATGAACCAGAGGGGTGGGCGGATCACAGCCCTGGGTACGGCCAGGCCCCTCAGACTGTGCAGGGGTGAACGAGCTCAGTTTTCAGATGTCCAGCTGCCGCTCGTCCCAGCGCTTTCCTGAACCCCGGTTCTCCTGTCTGTGCAGCCTCTCCTTGTCCCGTTCCTCCCTCCCACCTGGCAGAAGAAAGGCGCACCTCTTTCCTGTCTTAGGCCTGCCTGCCTTGTGCCCCGTTCCCGGGATGAAACCTGCCAGGGTGGCAGAGAACCTCTTCAAAAGGGGGGTGCCATGGGCTGAGCTGCCTCTGACACAGGCGCCCGGTCTCCTGCCCACCCAGACCAAATCTGTCCCCTGAAGAGACGCATTTCTCAAGTGTATCCAGAACTCTGCTTCATAATGGCTCGTCAAAATGTGTGTGTGTGGGGGGGGGGGTTTTTAAGTCATTTTTGCACCAGCAATGCTTCAAATAACCAATCAGTCCTTTTAAATACTCAATTGGGAGCCTTTGTATCCTGGGAAATTTTGAAAGGATTTGAAGCTCCAGTTTATGAGTATTTTACCACAGCAAAGTGAGAGTGCTTCACAGGCATGTGAGGGACAGATACACACACATGCGTGGGAGAAATAGAAAGAAAATATAATTTCAAAGCAGGAAAGGGGAAAAACAAAAATTTTACTAACAAGAGTGTGGTCATGTAAGTTTTAAATAGGTGATGATAGCGTGAGCATCACCATGATATTTAAAATGCCTCAGTATCTTTAAAAGAATGGCTTCACACCTGGCTCCTGGCTCCTGGCTCCTGGCTCCTGGCTCCTGGCTCCTGGCTCCTGGCTCCTGGCTCCTGGCTCCGGATCGGTGCAGCATACCGATGGCCACTTGGCAGCAGCGGGGGGGGGGGGGGGACCTCCCTCCCTCTCTCCCTCTCTCTCCCTCTCTCTCTCTGCCTGTCCAAAAAAAAAAAAAAAAAAAAAAGGCTTCATAGTTGAAGTGTCAATATTTGCCAGATGCTAGGAAATACATTTTTGCAGCTGTTTAATTTATGATGAAAAATTCTGGATGCCTATTTAAAATTCTGTGCACATGGCATCTGAAACTTTTTAGGGCCTAAGTAAGCAGAAAAATAATTGTGCATTATTGTCCTTGCAAGACTTTCAGTTCATCAGGCTTTATCTCTGGTAATTTTTGTTTTAGAAAAAAATATTTATTTATAGTTGAAAGGCAGAGAAACAGAGCAGGGAGTGGGGGTGGAGGGGAGATAGAGATCTTCCATCTACTGGTTCACTCCTCAAATGACTGCAACAGCCAGAGCTGGGTCAGGCCAAACCCAGGAACCTGAAGTCCAGCTGTGTTTGCCACATGGGTGGCAGGGGCCCAAGTACTTGCGCCATCTGCTGTTGTCCCGGGCGCTTTAGAAGGGAGCGGGATTGGAAGTGGCGCAGCCGGGACTTGAACCAGCGCTCATATGGGATGCAGTCATATGGCACTGCAGGTGACCACTTAATTGGCTGTACCACAAAACTGGCCCCCCTCTGGGGATATTTTGTAGATGGGGCAGCAACTTCCTGGCTACTGTGTGCAGATCTGAACTCCAGCTCAAGGTGATACCCTGCACATGTCAGTTAAGCTTTCCTGTCAGGATTTTTAGTTACTGCATGTTCGTCTATAAAAACAGGTTTTTAAAATTGACAGTGGATATTATCAACATGTCCCCATTTCACATTGATGTGAAATGCTTGCTACAGTTCTGCTGGCTGTGCCACTGGGGGCGCCGTGGGCTGCTGTGTTTGTCATAGATGTGGCTGCACAGCCGCTCAGTTCATCTCAGCTCGGAGACCCCTCCCCCCGTCTTCAGGCACACTCTGCCTGTGAGTGTAAGACGTATTTAAACTCATCTCCTTGGGCTTGCTGGACAGGCATGTCACCCTGCCCTGCGTGTGCCGCTTGGTTGTGTCTGGCCATGGGCTTGGCGGGAGCCACGGTGCGTGCCGGCGTCAGGATCCCCTAGGGCCCTGCAAACCCAGGAGGAGCATTGCTCCCTCCCTGTCTGTGCGTCTTTTCTGTTTCTTTAAATCCTCCAGCTCAGGATAAAAGTCCCAGGTAACAGCTGGGCAGAAGGCGCAGCGGCTGGCCCCCAGTGCGGTCCCCGGTCCCTGCGCGGCCAGCACCGATACAGGCTGCTGCAGTCTGTGCTGCCCCCAGCCACACACATGAATTCTCATCTCCCTGGTGGCCCAGGAGGTCCTGGGCAGTCTAGGACTTTGCGAAAACTTCCACTAACCAGTGACATTTGGGGTCCACTTGCTGAGCTGGTGCCGTTTTAGGACACAGAATTTTTCCTCCTTTTTCTCATACCTGACACTTGCCTGCTTCATAACTCAGTGTGGCCTTGGGTCCCGGGTTCCTCCCACATCCAGAAGCAGAGAGCTTCTGCTAACTACCCTGGCCGGCGTGTGGGCCCGGATCACAGAGCACTTAATAAAAACACATCTAGAAATAAATCCCGCTGATACCCG